TCTGTTTCTTGGGATAGATGATTTGTCCCTTTTCTTCAGGTGTTAAAAAAAGGGAAGATATTTGGCGCCCGAACGTGGGGCTAAAGAAAAAAAGGGTTAAAGAAAAAAAGGGAAGAAAAAAAAAGGGACTAAAGAAAAAGGACAAATGAACAGGGATAAAGGCCAGTGTTATGAAAGTTTACATCTATAGACCAAAGAGTTGGAATATGGTGGTTTGAATAAGAATGGCCCCATAGACATATATTTGAATGCTTATGGAATGGTATTAGGAGGCATGGCCTTGTTGGAGTGGGTATAGCCTTGTTGGAGGAAGTGGGCTTTGCGGTTTCAAATGCCCAAGCCAGGCCCAGTGTCTCTCTCTTTTCCTGCTACCTGCTGATCCAGATGTAGAACTCTCAGCTACCTCTCTAGCACCATGTCTGCCTACATGCCACCATGTTTCCTGCCATGATGATAATGAAATAAACCTCTGAACCAGTAAACCAGCCCTAATTAAATATTTTCCTTTATAAGAGTTGACACGGTCATGGTGTCTCTTCACAGCAATAGAAACTCTAGCTAAGACACATGCTGATAGATAATTCTTGATAACATTATGGTCAATGAAATAAGCCTCTCATCGAAGGAAAATAGTGTATTACTCCATACCCCCATGTTCTCTGGAGCAGCACTGGACAGGGTAGTGTTAGGAAGGAGCAGTTGGCAGAGGTCAAATTTACCCTGGAAACAAAAGGGAATGGAGAAGTAGAAAAAAGAGAAAGGAGAAAAGAAAAGAATTTTATAAGAAACAAGTGAGAATGATAGCAGAAACTCTTTTGTCTCTTGTTGGATGTCAACGATGAGAAATATGTTCAAAATTACCTCCAAGGACAGTCTTCAATGATTTCGAATAGCAGTAAGTATTGGTGTAGAGAAGCCAGGTCTTAATCCTGACTTCTTAACTTTGCACCTCTGGTTATATTCACTCATGCTGTGTGTCTGTCTTTAATTTCATAACTGTGAAACTGGGACATTAATACTCAGCTGAACATGTTCTCCAGGGAGAACGACATGGAAAAAATAGAGATACAAACTATTTAGCAAGTAAAGAACATCATTTAAGTCCAGGCTAACATCACTTCTACTTACTTTTGGACCTAACTGCTTTACAGTGCTGATCCTGTCTCATCATCTGTGAAAGATATAAAGATCAACACTATACCATAGACCATTAAATGAAATGATGTGTTTGCCGTATGTAAAGGGATTGATAAATGCCTGTGTTTGCAATAGTCAATGACAGCAATGGAAACACTTCTTTGCAGTTGAGAATTTAAAACCAACAACCAAAAAAAAAAAAAAAAAAGTGGGCATTTTAGGAAAGATGGACTCATGGAGAATGTGAAAGGTCCTTGTTTTCAGCCTTATGATTTGTCTGTACCCTCCCTGAAAAGCTGCTGCCAAATGACTGTCTTTGCTTCACAAGGTTAAAAGCACTCCCCCACCACCCCAACCCCCGCCCAGTGATTAACCACTCCCACCATGCTGGATCACTTCCTGGACTTCATTTACTTAATAACTAATCTTTCATTGCCTTTCCTCTTTTAAAGCCAGCCAGGCTTCTTCCTGCCTCCATCTCTGCTCAAGGTCTCTCCTCTTTAAAGCACTCAGATAATTCGGAGACACAATCCAACCCATTTTAATGGAGGGCTGATGAACAAAAGCGGTTTTCCTCATCTGTTTTCTAACCTTGTAACATTTCAGATGCTTCTCAATATTCCCAGCAAATGCCGTTCTTCCACAGACACCTAGTAAATATTCCCAAATGGCAGTTTCTTTTGCCTCTTTTTGTCTGGGAACAGCTGTTCAACAAGGGCCCAGAACTCAGCAAAAGTGTGCCTATATGCAGAATGTGGGCAAGCTAAGCCCTGGACTTTTGAATAGCTGCAGTCCCTGAGTGGGCATCTGTGCCAAGCATCGTGCAGAACACTGAATCTCCAGCAACGTGTTTACTCCTCTCAAGCTCAAAGTGCTCTCTTGTATATTTTATGGACAGAAACTAAGGCACAGGACATTTTTGTCCATTCCCACCACCTCCGCACCCACCTCTAGTCTGGTCTTCTGAGCAACAGTATTTCCTGTGTAAAAATACAGGCTCTGCAGACAGGCTCTAAAGCTTGCCCCCTTATTTACTGAATAAGAGCCACTAAGGTGGTATTCAGTAATCCATTGCTTAACAAGCCCTCTAGGTTATTTTGACATGTGCTTAAGTTTGAGAAACACTGGGCTTAAAAAGGGTGAATACCCTGCCAAGTTCACAAAGCTATTAAGTGGCAGAGTTAGGGCTCAGAATTAGAAATGGACTGATTCTTAAACCAGAGTCAGGGGGGCTTTAAAACAATACTGCTCATGCAAGGATTCAAAGTAAAACTACATTGTACAATGAAGACTAGACTTTTCTTTAGTAGCAGTTCAGAGAAGCTTCATTCTAGGTTTGATTTCATGGAGCAGGTGGGTGGACTTCATTTCATTCTCTGGGTCTTCTCTTCACACTCACAGGACAGATGCAGCAATTCCAACCTTTATATTTTGTTTCTCAAGTGTCCAGAGGTGAAGGGCAGCAGGCAAGAAGAGGCTCTGCCTCTTCTCCCATATCTTTTTAATGTATGTCCCCCGACGTGGTGATCTCTTCTCATGAATTATTTTCAAGAGATTGATTGGATTGCGCGCTCATTTCAAGCCATCATCTGGGAAGGAAAATGAAATAACATGATTGGGTAAGACGAATCAAAAACTCCTGACTGCGGATTACATGGAAGGACATGGTGGATGGGAGTTCTGCAGGTCAGAGCAGAGAATACAAAATAGGAAATAGTACAAACAACAGCAACAACAAAACAAAAACAGAGATTCAAAAGCTGACATGAGTTTTAAGAATCCAAATAGAAAAATTAAGATTGATTAAGGACAAGCAGAACCATTATTCTCTTAAAGCAAGAATGACTATCTATGGGCATCCTTGGAAAAAGCCAAGTATGGAGGAGAGATGGCCATTGGGTGCAGAAAAAAAGAATGACATGGTGATGGCTAGCTGCTTCTTTAACTTTAGCAGAGTTTGTCAAGGTCTGGTCTTGGTAAGTCACAATAGGTAAGAAGAATGGATGAAGATAAATATTTTATGTTGAAAGTTCTTAAGACTGGGTGGCTGAAGGGCCATCAAGAGATAAAGAGAGCATGAGTCAGGGACTATTTATTATTCATTCTCATGTGTATGGCTGGTTGTCCCTGCCTGCCTCTGGGATCAGGGTGAAGAAAAGGTACCAGCATCTACAAAGAGAACTATGGAGAACCGAAAGGAAACTGAGGCATATGCTATCTTAATTAGAAACATGTGCATTAATCTCTAAATTTGGTGGTTGCTATAGTGATATGGACTGCCAGGGCTTGGCAGGACCTGGAGAGAAAACTCTAGCTACAGGTTGGCTCTGTGATGCACCTATAACAGAAGTGCTCTTTATGATAAGTCTGTTGTACCTTGGCAATTTATTATTTTTCTTCAGATTTATGTTAGAAATTTTCAAATATATACAAAAGGAGAAATAATGATGCCTATAATGGACCTCTGTATACCATGTCTTAGTTACGATTTATATTACTGTGATGAAACATCATGACAAAAAAGCAAATTAGGGAGGAAAAGGTTTATTCAGCTTACACTTCCACATTGTAGTCTATCATTGGAACAGGAACTGAAACAGGAGGCACCTGGAGGCAGGAGCTGTTGTAGAGGTCAGGGAAGAGGGTTACTTACTGGCTTGCTCATCATGGCTTGCTCAGCCTGCTTTCTTATAGAACCCAGGACCACCAACCCAGGGATGACAACACATGCAATGGCCTGGGCCCTCCCTAGTAGCAGGAATCTTAAAAGTTCTTATTAATAAAATCAAGCCCGAGGCCAGTTATTGGGGTCAATGCTGGTAGATCAGAGAGGCAGAACAAGCCACAGCTAGCCTCACCTGGTCAACTTCTGAGCTGGTCTTGTTTCCTCAGACTGGAGGCCTCTGAGTCCTCATCCGGAATGGGTCTCAGCTGAACTGTGTTGTTCCAAAGCCTGAAAGCTTAACCAGCCAAAATGCTCAACCAGGCCAAAATGCTTAACAAGCCAAATGCTTAACCAGCCAAATGCTTCTAGTTTCTGGTCCTCATGCCTTATATACCTTTCTGCTTTCTACCATCACTCCCTAGGATTAAAGACTTGCTTTTTAGGATTAAAGGCGTGAGTCACCATGTCTGGCTGTTTCCAGTGTGGCCTTGAACTCACAGAGATCCCAGATGGATTTCTGCCTCTGGAATGCTAGGATTAAAGGTGTGTGCTATCACTGCCTAACTAGTGGCTTTTCTGTTCTCTGACCCCAGATAAGTTTATTAAAGTACACAATATTTTGGGGAACACAATACCACCACACTCCCTCATTGATAACTAATTAAGAGAATGCTCTACAGACTTGCCTACAGCTCAATCTTATGGAAGTATTGTCTCACTTGAGGTTTCCTCCTCTCAGATGACTAGTTAGTGTCAAGTTGATAGAAATGTAACCAGTACATTCCCTATTACCAGCTCATTATGATCCACTCCTAGTCAACTGATTTTGTTTCCTTTATTCTCCTGTCTCAATTATTCTCACTCCCATCCCCCACCTAGGTTACATTATTTTAAGGACAGTTTTATGGATACATATTTTCACAACATATAGCTACCTATTTAAAATGTATAGTTCAGTGTTTTTTAGAATATTCAGAGTTATGTGAGCATCAACACAATTTTAAAATATATCATCCCCCCTAAAGAAATCCTGTACCAGTTATATCTAGAAATATAAATATATATACATATACATACATTTTTACATACACAAACATACACATGAAGGAGAGTGAGGAGGGGTATATGGGAGGGCTTGGATGAAAGAAAGGGGTAGGAGAATTGTCATAATTATATTGTAATCTTAAAAGGAAAATAAACCTTGAACCTTACACCTGTCATGTATGATAACTTCAGCTCTTAGCCGCTAAGCATTACTCCTTTATTTCCTGTTCTGGAATTGCCTATTATGAGCACTTCATAGAAATAGAATCAAGTGATATGTCATCCTTGATACTAGCTTTTCCCACTCAATAATTTTGAGGCTCACCCATGTTGTAGCATACATCAGCACTTAATTTTGTTTTATTTCTAGAAATAATATTCCACTTTGTGGACAAACTTCCTGTTTTGTTTGTGTTCGTTTAATCCCAGGGTCATTATACAGCCCAGGCTTATCTCAGGCTTGAGCATCTCCAGTCCCTTATGTGTGAGGACTGTGAGCATTCATCTCCCTGCCTAAGTTACATCGTCTTTATCCATGCACCAGCTGGTAGATATTCACATTAATTCTACTTTGGAGGTTTTATGAATAAGGCTTCTAAGAACATTTGTGTATAAGAATATTCACATACAAGAGTGCCTATGTTTTCATTTCTCTTGGGTGAGTGTCTTGTAAAGGATTTGCTGAGTCATATAGTAACTCTATTTGAACCATTTGAGGAACTGTCAGATCAATTTCCACAGTGGCTGTACCATTTTATGTTCTGCTGCTACAGTGTGAGTGTTCCAATTTCTTCATATTGCTCCCAAAACTTATTACTGTCTTTTAAATTACAGCTATCATGAGGATGTGGAGTGTCATCTCCTGGCGATTTTTACTTATACTTCTATGATGGCTAATGATATTGAGCATATTTCCAGATTTTTATTGTTCATTTGCATAAAAATTTTGCAGAACCATGTATGCATATCATTTTTCAATATTTAAACTTAATTGTCTTTTTGTTATTGAGATAAAAATTATTTATACATTGTACATATAGGAAATGTTATTATAGGTATACATGGATAAATGTTTCTTCTACTTTGGGTTTTTTTTTTCTTCTCTGTGTTTTGTTCTCATACTCCTCCCTCATCTCTTAACAAGGTCTCACTTTGTGAGACTGGTCTCTAGCTCACAAACCCATATCCCAGCCTCTCAGATGCTTGGGTTGAAAGCACTACTACCATGCACGGCTGGTCTCTCTTTCTTAATAATATACTTTAAATCAAAACAGATTTTCACTCTGACAAATCTAAGTTATCTAGTTTTGATTTTGCTACTAATATTTGTGGCGTTTTATTTAATCAATAGCCACCAGTTTTTGATAAAAATGTGTGCTGATGAGTTTGTTACATTTTTTATAGTTTTAGTTCTTGCATTTAAGTGTTAATCTATTTTTAATTATTATAATGTAAGGTTGGGAGTCCCAAATCATTTTTTTATTTTAATTTTTGAGATTAATGAGACCATTTCCCTTTTCCCTTTCCTCCCTCCAAATCTGCCCTCTCCCTGCTCAGTTTCAAATTTATGGCCTCTTTTTTACTAATTATTATTACATGTACATGTATATATGTATATATAAATATACACGTACATATATATATATATATATATGTCCATATAATGTTACTTATATATATATATTTTCAGAGCTGACCATTTGATATTGCTCAACCAATTGGTGTGCTCTTCCCTGGGAATATCTTCTCTCTCTCTCTCTCTCTCTCTCTCTCTCTCTCTCTCTCTCTCTCTTCCTCCCTCCCTCCCTCCCTCCTTCCCTCTCTCCCTTCCCCTCTCTGTCAGCATTCCTTAGTTGCCTGTAGTCCTTTGTGTAGGGTTGGGGACTTGTAGAGTTTCCTCCATCCACTTTGGCATGTCTAACGGTGTCATCCTTGTTTAGCTCACGGTTGGGCAGCCATGTTGGTGAGACTTTATGACTATAACTTCTGTCATCACTAGGAGACATAATATCAAAGCAAATACCCTGATCCTCTGGCCCTTACAGTTTTTTTTTCCATCCTCTCTTCCACAATGTCCTATGATCCTTATGACTTCATTCTCTCACAGGTGAATATCCACTTGCTTCAGCATCAATTTTTAAAATATTGAAATCAATTGAATAAGCAAATCTTAGAAATTATATGAATTTACCCATTTCTGTATAGATTTGTATCTCCAGACTTCAATGCCCCATTGTTTAATCTACCTCATCTCTGATCCTCAGAACCAACAAAGTTAGTGTTCATTTTGACAGAGAGTGATGCTGCAGCTTGTAGAGGTTGAGTGACCGGCCCACAGTCACGCAGCTACTTAAATGACAAACTCAGAGGCAAGCTGTGTGCCCTTCCTATTATTACCTCACCATCATTGTGGCCAAAGCATAATGTAATATTGTCAGAGCAAAGGCAGCATGACTCAGGCAGTGCATTTGCTTGCCTCACAGGCATCTTTTAACGTGTTCACTATCTTCAAGGGCTTCCTGGTCATCTCTCTTTGACCTTCCCCAGCATTCTGCTCACCAGGAGGTAGAAAAAAAATGTGTTTTTCAAACTCACCAAGCACCTGCTCAGAAACCAAAGCAAATTGTAAGGGAGCAAATCAAAACCTTGGGGGATGGGAAGAAATCTGCAAATTTGTATCAGTGTGAAAGGTGAGGGCACCCATTCTGAAGTGAGAAGCAGATTCAACAACCCACACTTTTAAATGGAATTTGAACTTTGTTTGCTACAAGGAAGGCTTGAATTACACAGTCCTTGACCCCAGGAGTAGCTGAACCTCTTATTCCCCACACTCCACAGGCTCTAGTGATTTTCCAGTACTAAAGGGTACCTGTATTCCAGTACTGAGGAGGGTAAGGCAAAAGGACTTTCAAGCTTTAAAGCAGACTGGGCTACATAGGGAGACACTATCTAAAAATAGGAAAGAAAAGAAAAGACAGAAAAAATAAGAGAGGGATGAGAAAGGGAGGGGAGGGGGGAGAAGAGAGATAAGGAGAAAAGAAAAACCAGGGCTGGGTAGTGATGGGAAGAAGTTTCAGAAGTAGTTCCTCTGGTTTCTGTATTCGGGAATGTCAGATCTTTTTGTCCCTAGAACATACTAGGCACAGAATGCTGAGTGACTTACTGTCACCAAGCCAAAGGTGATGACCTCATGAGGCTTGAGACACTGCAGAGATGTAGGAAGGGAGAAAAAAAGAAAATCTCTAAGACTGAGACATATCTGAATCTGCCTATGGACAAAAGGACTTTCCAAGGATCGATAAGGTAGCAAACAGTTGAAAATCAGCATCAGAACTAAGGAATGGATTCCAGGGATTAGACTGTACACTCAAATTTGACTATCTTTTCAATAAGGCAAAAAAGGGAGTTGGTTTCAGATCCAACAGCAAGATATTGTCTGGGACACAGCAGAAATAGTTCTGAGAGCACCAGGGCTTGGCATAATTAAGGCAAGGAAGAAGGGTATAGTGTGACCTAAAACAGCTTAGAAACTACTCAGCTTAGAAACTACTAGAAAAGACAGATAGATTCCAACCAAGGTAGGCAACTGCAGAAAAACCTTGGACTTTAGGTTCAACCTCTACCTCTACCAGCAGAATTTTCTTTGGGAAGGTCTTGATGGAAACTTAGTGCAGATGTAGAGCAGAGCTTCACCTAGACCATTGTGGCCATCTGTTCCCTTACTGACTACTTCTGTGACTTCAAGTGAACTATTTCACCTTTCTGAGCATACAACTTCAGGGTACACAGTATGCTTCATTTGTGATTACTCCCTCTCTCCTTAATCTTTCTCTGATTACTAAGCGTTTTCATCTCCATTACTCCTTTCCAGGTACCATTTGGATCATACTGAGGCAGTTTTCCACCTAAAGGAAGCTCTGCTAAGGAACCTGAGGCCCGAGCTCGGAGGGGAGAGGGGATATTTGGACTCTCAGCTTGATGCTTGCCCCTCGGCATCAGGGTGGTTTGCCTGAGATGCTAGTTGCCATGGCCACCTAATTATTTCCTTTAGGTCTGACCACCACAGCGAATTGGAAAACTTGCCAAACTTCTAGAAAAACAAACAGCAGATGTCCAATTGGAAAAAAAAAAGAAAAAAGAAAAGAAAAGAGAAAGAAAAATCATTTGTGAACAATAATGTTTGCTTTCCCATCAATCACATGGAGATTTGTCAGAGATAGGGTCAGGGAGAGGAGCAGGGACACTGGGGAAGGCAAGGCTTACAATCTGCAGCTTCCCCTTGTAAAACACATAAAAACCATACTTGGTGGGTGTGAAATTCTGCTTAAAGGACAGAAACAGCTACTTGCATCTAGTTGGTCTTACAACAAGCTCTGATCAGCTACCCAGCAGTAGAGGACTAGAAATAGGTTTTTAGAAACTGACCTGGGTGTCAGTACCATATTTCTTAATATCTGGCTGGATGACTTTGGCCAAATCCATGTATCTGCTTCCTCAAATAAAGTGTGGATCCTAACAGAGGTAAGGGATTAAGTTATGAAGCACAATGATTTAGCATAGAGCTTAAAGTTAGTAATGCCTTGATGGATGTCTGTTTTGCATTTATTTTAAAATCAAAGCACAATCCAATAGACTCATCCTTCCATAGCATCTCAAGATTAATTACTCATTTTGAGAAATACAGAATGCCATCCCAACAAGTGGTGTCTTACAAATTTCTTAATAGATTACTATTTTATGGAAATTACTATTTTAGGGAAAACTGAGATCAGAGAGGTCATGACATTTGCCTGAGATCACACTGACAGCTAACAACAGGGCTGAAAGTGAGTGACTAAAACCCAAGCCAAGGCTTTTCCAACATCCACAATGCTGAGAAAGGAAAGAAAAAGAACTGCCTCTTCCCTTTTGTTTTTTGTTTATTTGTTTCCAGTTTTTTGTTGTTTTTGTTTATTTATTTTTATTCAGCTTCCCTTATTCATAGGCATTTTCATGAATTGTTTTATTAAGTTATTGTAGATATTAAATATGTTATTACTATTGTGGGATATTTGTACACTGTATGAAGATGTGTTGTTGTGATTGTTGTAACAAAAAGCTGAATGGCCTATAGCTAGCCAGGAGGTATAGGGAGACTTCCAGGCACAGAGAAAGAGGAGGAGGAATGTAGGCATCAGGAGACACTTGGAAATGTGGAGAGGAAACAGGAGGTGCAAGATGGAAGAGTGGTAAAACCACATGGTAGAAGATAGATTAATATAAATGAATTAATCTAAATTATAAAAGCTAGTTAGGAACAAGCCCAAGTTATAGGTTGAGGTTTCATAATTAGTAAGAAGTGTCTGTGTCATTATTTGGGAGCTGGCTGGCAGGACAGAAAGACTTGTTATATATGGTATCCAATGTGAAAACTCAAATATCCAAACATAGGGTCTGAGAAAGCTAAGAAAAGTTCTGGACAAGGAGCCAGATGAGGCTTCCTAGTCCTGCAATCTCTTAGGTGGGCTGGTGCTCAGCAGCATATAGAGACACAGCTACCAGCTGCTGCCTGAGGGCTGGACCCAGCAGCCAGCACCATGTGCCAGCACCATGTGTTAAGCTGAGCCAGTGCAGTGGCTGACATGGCAGTTTAAGATTTGTCTCATGCTGTCAGAGAGCACTGCAAATGTTTAGTAAAGCCAGATGTAGACACAGAAAACCTCTAAAAAGGTACAGTTATGCTTAAAAATGTGCTTAGATGCTAAAAAGAAAAAAATGGGTATAGACAGTCATAGAAAAGAATAACTAGTTTAAAAATAATAAAACCTTAAGCAGACCAAGCTACACAACTGTCTTGCTTATGCAGAAGGCCTAGTCCAGTCCCATGGAAACTCAACAGCTGTTGGTCTAAAGTTTAGGAGTTCCCACTAGCTTGATTTGGTTGTCTCTGTAGTTTTTCCCATCATGATCTTGATCCCCCTTGCTCATAGAATCCCTCGTCTCTCCCTTTGACAGGACTCCTGGAGCTGGGCCTGGTGCTTGGCTGTGGATCTCTGCATCTGCTTCCATCAGTTACTGGATGGCAGCCCTATGATGATAGTTAGGGTATTCACTGATCGGATTACTGGGACAAGTCAGTTCAGCACCCTTTCCACTATTGCTAGTAGTCTAAACTGGGGTCATCCTTGTGGATTCCTGGGAACTTCCCTAGCACCAGGTTTCTCCCTATCCCCTTGACGACTCCCTCTATCATGGTATCTCTTTCATTGCTCTTCCACTCCATCCCTGTTCCAGCTTGACCATCCAGTTCCTTTATTTCTCATCCCCCATCCCCTACCCTCTATTGCCCCTCCACACACACCTAGTTTACTCATGGCGATCTCATCTAATTCCTCTTCCCAGGGCAATTCATGTGTTTCTCTTAGGGGCCTCCTGGCACTAGGATCAGGATCCATCCCTGGTGCATGAGCTGGCTTTTTTTGGAGCCCACTACCTATGGTGGGACACCTTGCATAGCCTTGATACAGAAGGAAGGGCTTGGACCTACCTCAACTAAATGTAGGCTTTTCTGACTCCCTATGGGAGGCCTTACCTTGTCAGAGGAGGGAATGTGGGGTGGGTTGCAGGGGGAAATGGGGGGCTGGAAAGAGGGAAGAGATGAGGATCTGTGGTTGGTATATAAAATGAATAAAAATTTCTTAATAATAAAAAAGTGCATACAACAAGTTTTCAATAAAATTTAACATAAAAACTTTAAAAAATAACAAAAAAGCCTTTAAAGAATTAATAAAGTAATATAAAAGAATAAGCCATGTGAAGATGGAAAATACAGAGTGTCTGGATCCTGTGTAGTGTTTTGTTGACTTTGAATTTTTTAAATGATAATGTACAAAAAACTACAGCTGCTGAGGAACATTGAATTATGGAAAGTGTTAAATTAAATGAACCTATATATTTTAAGAATGTCTTAACTTCAAAATGGAAGTCAGAAAATTGGGGAAGAGGTTATGCCTTTATTTCCACAGGAAACAAAAAGTTATGGTTCTCTTCAAAATTAATGAAGATCAGATTTGATTTTGGGAGAACTCCTGAAAATCTTGGCTACAGACATAAAAGAGGAAAATCAAGAAGCACTACAGGTGATGCATATGCTGATTCCTGTACTATGGGAACAGCTCTGAGACTGGATGAGACATGATAAATCTTGTTGGCTATAGAGTCTTTATAACTTGCATGTAATCCTTTCATATGGCATGGATAGAGGTTTGGTTATATAGTCCAAACAAACTTATAAAGTTAACAGATGCCTTTTACCTGCTTAAACATAAAACAAAAAATCATCTTTAGCTGACTTGTACACACTGCACACTTCATATTTGTGT